TCACACACATATATAAACTATTATTAAATTATTAAAAATATATATATAATAATAAGAAAAAACAATATTTTTTTTATGCTGATTGGTTCCAATTGACAAATCGGTTTTATTTTTACCATTAAGTGAACGAGGATTTTTATATTTATATATAAACAATGGATCTAATTTCTCGCAACCTGTAGCGTTGCATGTCAAAAGAATTGTTACTTATTTTTTGAATTTTTTGTGCCTGAAATTTTATTTGTAGCTAGTGTTTCGAAGGTTATGTATTCTGGTATAAGCCTGTTTCATCACAATTAAACACATCATGAAGTGAATAATCAGAAATCAAATTTTGCAACCTTTCCCTTTCTTCTGGAAGTCGATCTCCATGCTTGTTATACTGTTTAAGATTATGACGTAATTTGAATTTATTTAACCATCCATTAGAACCCCAAAAATCAGTGATGTTAAGAAGGCTTGCAAATCGTTGTGCTTTATTCAAAAGAATGCTGCCACTAATTGTTAAATTTGCAGTTTGTGCTTGCATAGCCCATAATACTGGTGCTTCTTCAATTTCTATATATTTGAGGTCGTTTGATCCGTTTTTTTTTGTTTTGGTTATCTTGGTCATTTGGATCAACTGCTAGATATTCAGCTTTTAGGATAAATTCCAAATTCTTTTGTAAGTACTTTGTTTAAAGTTTTTCAATTCTGTTCCTTTTTAAACATAATTCTATTTTTTGTAATAAAGTTAATGTAATTTTCGTATTTTTATTAGAAATTGACATGGTTAAAGATAGAAAGTAGAATTGACCATTTTTAAACCGAATTTTATTATAAGACGAACTTTAAAACCATTTATGATCATATTCGGCTTAGAAAGTTATATTTTTATTATTTTGTACAAAACATTAAGTTCGGTTTATCAAGTAAAGTAGAAATTATAATAAAATTCGGCTTAACGAAATGATTTTTATTAAATATGATTTGGTTAACCAATTTTGCATCGTTATAAAACGAAAATCGGCTTATGGTTTATCGAAGTTTGACTGTATATGATTTATGAAAGTCTTCGCAAAAAAGATTCATCTGGTATTCCTCTTCAATCAACAATTGCAGACAAGCTCTGTACCTTCCCAGACAGGATTTTCTACATATGTTGCTTTCATTTGATCAGTCATGGACTATTCAGTAACGTTTGAAGGTAATAAGAGACTGGCTTGAAGCATATACTGGAAAGATCAGAAACATGTTTGGGATGCTATTGGGAAAGGTGATGATCATTGTTCAAGAAAAAAATCAGAAGCAAGACCTGTCTGATGAAGTAGATTGGGTTTCTATCAAAATGTTGATAGAGACATTGGAATCCTTTGAAAGCAAAATTGGACAACAATTAGAATTAAAAGGGAAATTATCTTCATTATCTGAAGTAAGAAACCTGAAAGCAAAGTACTGCTGTCATTTGTGTTTGATGAAGTTAAAGTATTGACCAAGAAAAATGTGAATTGCAATAAGACAGATTATGAATGTTTACAAAATGCACTGGGTGGCCATATATTTGGTATTGTTACTGATACAGCATCCAAGATATCAAATTTTGCATCAACTGCTCATCATGACAATTCTTATCATGTTCAGAAGACTAGGATGGCTTTATACCCATCTTTTTATCATATTGCCACATTAGATACCTTTATGATAGCAGATACAGAGCCAGATATATTGAAGAAATGGATATGGTGGTTTGGTTAAAATCATACACACTGTCATAAAGGGGACTGGCTCCTACCATATGGTTAATATTAACAAGGGAACATTACATTGGTGATGATTAAATTTTTGATCTCTGAAATCTTTTGTTCATTTTGTCTGGTGTTGTTTCTTTGCCCATATAATTAATGAAAAGATACTAATAAAGAATTTTGCACACATTATGTATTAGTATTATCATTTGTAATAATAACTAGAATTTTTAATTATTTGCAAAAATAAATAACATTTCCTAAATGTTACATATTCAAATATCTTTTTATTAATTAATTATGCATTTTGGAATATCACTGATTTTCTAATCTTAGAAGTCCCAGCAACCAAGTTATATTAATGTTGTTGATAAATTAATTAAAATTAAAATTAAGTATTAAATATTAAATCTATAATTTTACCAGAAAAAATTTTATATATTATTATAAAATAATAATAATTAATAAATAATAAATAATATTCTAATGGACATTGATTTGTTTATAATACTATTATTGTTGTTGTTGTTATTATTATTATTATTATTATTACTATTATCATTATTTCCTTCATTTCCACCACCACCGGGCGTAGAAATAGATGAATTAATGGCGTGATTTGAATTTGGAAGTGTAGGAGGATGACCATGAGATTGGAGATAAGAGGGAGGAGGTAATGGTTGTTGATACTGATGATTCAAATGTTTGATGTAAGGATTTGGCATAGGGGGATTATTTGGATGACTAACTTTCATATCAGGTGGCAACATATTTGCTTGCAAAGGAAACAGTTGCCTCGTTACTTTTTATATTATTATTATTATTATTATTATTATTATTATTATTATTATTATTATTATTATTATTATTATTATTATTATTTAATTCATTTTTATTATTTTAAAATAGAATATGATCCAAAATCACGCCCAGAATTCCATGCTAAAGCTATTGATGCACTCAATAAATCAATCAAATTAGACCCGGAAGCTTTTGAGACTTATTACCAGTTGGCTCTTGAGTATGCAATAACTCGTGATATAGGTCAAGCAATCGAAAGTGTCAAACAAGCTCTTGCTTTAGATGGTACCAATATTCCATGTTGGCACCTACTAGTATTACTTCTTTCTTCTCAAAAAGACATACAAGGAGCTTTGAAAGCAAGTGAAATCGGTGCTAAAGAGTCAGACTGGGAAACAACTGATTCAACAGTTGATTTTAATACATTGGCAGCCATTGGTAATAATGATGGTGAAGAATTTCTCTCTTTCAAATTAACACAAAATGTTTTACAAGAATTAGCAAATGGATCTGAAACAGCAATTCAAAATTTTGATAAGTTGTTTACATTATTTGGAAGAGTTTTTCCTGATTATAGTTTGGTCTCATATTATGATTCGAGTTCAAAGAAGCATGAAAAATATGAAGATACCATTTCTTCAAAATTACAAATAAGTTCTAATAGCGCAAAAAGTTTTACTAGCTCTTCTGATAAAAAAGAGGAGTACCTTAGTAGTAGTAATAATAACGATGGTTCGACAATATCTAGTGCAACAAACAAAGAGACATTAGGTGAAGGATTGTTTTTGACTTGAATGTAGATGAAAAAGATAATTACTATATGCACAACACTAACATTTCTATTATTATTGATTGTTAATATTTTAGATGTTCCCAAAACAAATTATGCAACATCAATTGCTTCTTCTTCAAAAAATTCTGGATCATCTGGAGTTCGTCCTAGTCCCACACCAACTATCACAGGTTTGACTTATAACAAATCAGCATCATCATCAACTACAGCAACACCTTCACATACCACTTTAAAACTTAAGCAAAGACGTCAATCTGCGGCAAAAACATTAATAGACTTATGGCTCGGATCGGCTTCGATATTCCGTCGCCTTGGTAATTTAGAAGAAGCTCAAAAGGCTATTGAGAGTGCCGAGGAAATTGATAATATGAATCCTGATATTTGGTATCAGGTTCGTTTGATTTGATTTGATTTGATTTTTTGATTAATTAAAAACAAACAATTATTTATTTAAATAATATTTTTTTTAAAAAATTTTTGATATGTATTATATATAGCTTGGTCTTTTACACTTTGTTCAAGAACAATATGTTGAAGCAATCAGTGCTTTTCATAAAGCTATGGCACTGGATCTAAATCATGTTCTTAGTTTGGTATATTTGGCAAGAACATATATAGAGACAAAAAATATTGAGATTGCTGAAGGTATACTTGATGATATTACCAAAGGAATTGGATGGGATTGCGCTGAAGCATGGTAAACTATATATATTTATATCTATGTATTGATTATCCATAATATTTATATTAACATATTATTCTATTTTATTTGTTTAGGTTATATCTTGGTCAAATATACAAAGCTACTAATCGTATTAAAAGAACTAAAGATTGTCTATGGTATACTTTAGATTTAGAAGAAAGTCAACCCATAAGATCATTCAATGTTTTACCTCGATGTCTATAAAAAAAATTTTTTTTCAATTAATAATAGAAATTTATATCTTAATTTAATTTATTTGATTTTAATTAATTAATTTATTTGTTTTAGTCAATGATTAAATGAGCTTGTTTTTTGTATATACTAATAAAATAGATTATTATTTAATTGACAAATAAGTGAAGCGATTAACGTTTCTTTAATCCATGGCGCCTCGTTAAGCAAAGCTTTTTTCTTTCAATACAAGAAAGTAAAATTTTTTTGGATTTTTCTACCTGCACATAAAAAAAATTTTTTTACGTGGAACAAAAACTTTTCATGCAAAGGTCATTTTTGTACAGTGCGGATCATCTATACTCAAAAGTTAAAATTTTTGAAATATTATGTGATCCACACATTGGATTTTTAAAAA